AGACCAATCTGTGGGAAATTTAATGAAAATTAGCTGAAGTTCGCGTTCTGGAAAAAAAGATTCATTTGAAAGCTTTGGTCAAACTCTAGAGGGAATTGCTGGTTGCATAGAGATTGTCTCCTTTCGCAAGTTTCACTACAGCCCGTGAAAAGCGGCTTCCATTAAAGGGAAACTTCATAAAAGGCCAACGGCAGAATAGCCGAAGCAGACCGACCCCGGAAATATTGATGTATTGTAAGGTATTGGTTCCCTCTGTAATCTGACATTTGGAAAAATTGCAAAGAAAAGATCATATCAAGAATTACTAGCCTCAGTTCATATATTTGCCACTAACAGGAAGGAAAAAAAGTTTACTTAAAAACTTAATTACTTCCAACCCTAATTGGGTTGTTGTAGGCACAGGGTAAAATTTAAGAAAACATTTCTAACATAGGCATATCTCTTATTTAACATTGCTTTAGGTTGATTTCGAATGAGTCCTTGTGCTTTAGCTCTGCTCAACATGCTGTTTTCACTTAAAAGGAAGTGTTTTAACAAAAGTGATATGTTTGGGATTCAATATAGCTTTGATTCTGAATAAAGCACAACTGTAGTTCAAATGCTCATGATTGCAGCCTTTCCGAAAACACTCACTTACTCATTTACAGCTGGTTGCTAAATCCTGGTTCTCTGAAGTATGGTCAACTAATTGCTTTTGCTAATTCAGCTATAAAGCTACTAATCAGATGTTTATGGAAGCTGTTTTATCTTAGCTCTTTACGAGAGCCATTGTTCCCCACAAGATGATAAGAGCGGAGCTCAGTAATAGTTTTGCTCTAGATAGATGGTAATAGCTTGTAAAATGGAAGGTTTCTTTTTCTCTACCAACAATTTTGAAGAAGCCATGGTCGTTTTTAGGTTGTTGAGTCCATCTTTGCTGAATACGATGAGGACTTGTCCATGGGTTCCTTGGATGAGGCATACATTGATCTTACTGCCTATGTTAGCTCCAGAACAGAACCAAGTGCCTCCTATATTGGAGCTGTTCTTTCCATGAACTGATCCTTTACTACTTAGAAAAACTTGTGCGTCGTCAGTACGGAGGAGAATGCATCTGCAAATTACCGCTTATTGCTGAAGAAGAAACTACTCCTTCGTCTGTGGAGAAATGCGCCAAATGTGGAAAGGAGCGAAAAATCTTTGAAGACGAAGTGGAGTTTGGAACAACTCGAGCAGAGGTTTCTCCTAAATTTGATTTTTTTAGAACTCTTCACTGATTTATCATGTCTTTTCGGCTAGCAGGAGAAGATTAGAGAATGTTGAGCGGGTGAAAAGGCTATTTGTCACAGCCTAAAAGTTTATATACATGTACATCCATTCGTGCTTTTCTTTCAAGCCCTCTAAAATTTTTAGGTTGTATTCTTACAGTACAGTACTTTAGATTAAGGGCAAAATACTTGTAAACGTCTCTGCTTGAGATATTCTCAGCATTCGCTTCTCTCCTTAGGTTGCAAAGAAAGAGACTACGCCACACCTTGCATTACCCTGGTCGAATGTTCCTTCGTAATGTTTCTGCCCTTCTTTCAAGCAGAAATTTTGTGCTTTTGTAATGATTTGTTTTCTGCGTAGTTTGAGGAGAAAAAGGGCGAGTTATTCCAAATATCATCCTTTGCGCAACCGGACATACATTGGGAATTTTATCTTTCAGCCAAATCCAAAGCCAAGCCAATGTAGGCGTGCAGCAAATTTCTGTATACCATAAATACTATCACTTTAGGTTGTGCGAGAAATCCGTTTTCGGGTCGAACAGGCAACCGGTCTCACGTGCAGTGCTGGTGTGTATCGCCATTTAACGAGAATGTGGTTTTGAAACATCAGCTTCTACCATTTTTATCTCAGGCATAGCTCCAAACTTCAAGTTGGCTAAAATTTGTTCTGATATGAATAAACCAAATGGTCAATATGAGCTCGAAAACAGCTACGAAGCTGTAATGGAATTTCTACACCCGTTGCCAATTCGAAAGGTTCGATTATCCACGAGTACACACTTGAGGACGAAGAGAAGTGTTTATAAATATTTTTCAATATCTCATGATATGTATCAATTTTTATTGGAAAAGAACACGATAGTTCACTGTCATGCAATTTGCTCAAAAGTTCTTGAGACGCTTGGTTTAAATGTGATCTAATCATACATATTTTCGGTATATTTTTTCAAACTTTTCAGGTAGGAGGAATAGGAAGAGTATCAGAGGCTCTACTGAATGCATGCGATATACGAACTGTGGGTGAACTTTTAGAGCGACGAGCAGCTCTCACATTTTCCTTCTCTCCGCTTGCACAGGTATGCCTGCCTTAATATCATTCGCATTATCTGTTCTAAACAGTAATTAGTGGCTGTTTCAGAAAAGGGTTTTTGATGAATTTAACTTTAGACTGGATAAAGCATAGTTTTTGGCGACTTTTTTTGAGGCTCTTCATGCAATTTTTCAAGTCTTCGATCAAATGCTGTATACATTTGTAACCTTTCTCTGTGTACAAAGCTATGCCACTATTTCTCAAATCAGTTTTTCTGACTTCTCTGGAATGGACTTTTGTTTGACAAAAAACAGCTTTAACTCCTACGACTTTGCTTTTGGACGTGTCCAAAGAACTTTGCGAATGAGCTAATATTTGTAGCTAAAAGATGCCATATACTCTGTAGTCAATTATCAATTCTTATCTTGAAAACACTGGTAGTCCATCCGAGTTGAAGGACACCGTTAAGCGGAGTTAAACAACCTTTCTATTCTTCAAGTTTCGCCCAAAAGGATTACCATCATGACCAATTTCCAACCATAGGCAAGATATAAATTTATCAGGTTTTTTTAACAATTGGCTGGAGGCTTTCCATTAGGGTCGCTAGGTTTCCTTAGTCGATAGGCTTCTCGAGAAGTTTGCCCGATTTTAGTGGAATGGCGTCAAAGATATTTGGGGAAAAAAATGTAAAGAAGCCCCAAGCAATGATGAGCAAAAGCTGCAATTTGATTGACGTACTCTTATATTTGGATTGGTTCTGTCACCATTTCAAGTAAAATCCTTTTTTACAGCGCAAAAGGTCATGCAATTTATGAGATTACCTGACTATTGCATTGAGACATTTCATTTTGCTCAAACGTGGAACAAAGTCGAATGACTTGGGGGTATGATAAACATGGTTTTATAGGGCATGGAAAGAATTTCACCATTTACAAAGTCCCTTCTAGATATAATAAATTGCAGAGAAATTAGAGTTAGAAAAAAGAACCACGTGAAATTATGTAGCAACCTTTTTCCAAAACTGGGTCTATTTTAGACTTTTCTTGGTAAAATCAAAGTAAAAATTGTATTTTCACAGCTCTTCCATACCAATAATTTTGAGATAATGCAGCTTTGAGGAGTCATTCCTGCGCATAGCACTTGGCTTACCTGGCCGACCTTCTGCATCTGATCCTCGAAGGAAGAGTATCTCAACCGAACGCACTTTCACACCAACGTCGGATCGAGATGCCCTTCTTGAGATGTTAAAGCATGTCTGTGAAATGTTGGCTGAAGATATGCCTAAAGCAAGCGTTGTGGGTTCGTTAGCTTAGTGCTATGAAACCATAGCACTGATCAGTTCATCACATGAATTTTTGACTTTTAGGAGGACGATGTGTTACTTTGAAAATTAAATTGTCTTCATTTGACGTGCTG